AACCGCTTCGATACCAGTGTGACGAGGCAGAGGCAGAGGCAGAGTAGTGATCCTGAGGGAGAGAGAGGAGAGGGTGAGATCACACACACACTCACTCAACTCGACACAGACTCGACAAGACTCGACGGACGCATACACGAAGTGGCCAAGTCGCGAAGTCGCAGTCTTCGATTCCCGAACACAATGTCGAAGCAAGTCACACTGAAGCACAAGCACTGAGGCTGAAAACTGAATGCCCGTACTGGGCTTGAGTCGGGTCTTAAGTACCGGACTCAAGTTCAGTCCGGAGGGCAGAAGTGCCATTGCCTCAGGACTGAACTGAGAATTGAAAGTCTGAGTCTAGGCGCCAGAATGTCGGAGGGCGCCAAGTGTCGAAATCCGAAAGTGCCAGAGGGATTTGAAAACGGGCACCAACTGCAGAGGGCGCCAACAGTCAGAAACCGAAGAGCAGGAAAAAAAAAGAAAAGAAAAAAAATAGCAGGCTGGTGGGTGGTACCCTGCGGACCAGGGATTGAGCCCTGGCTGAGTCCGTAACAGTGTGCATCACACCTATACATGTCTACGGATAGCTAATTAGCCTGTGGGGTCTTCTTGAGACCATACTAGGTATCCATCATCTGCGCCCACAAGTCAAGCGCTATGATCCTGGTCCATTGTGTAAGAGCACCGCACAAATTAAGCGCAGGAGAATGACAAAGCGACAAGAAGACAAGAAAGAACAGAATGAAGACAACTAGACAGTTGAAGCCTATAGATGATACCGGCGAGATCCAACTGGTTTGATGTACCTATTGGAAGTCAGAGGACCCACAATACCTGCCTAACCTCAAAGGGACCTAGTAATAGGAAAGCACTGACAGCCTCATCAGTAATCGGGAAGGGGTCTATGCATCTGCACAACTCAGATTTCATTCTACGACGACGCCACATCTTATTGCCATACATGAATGAATATAGATTGAAAAAAAAAAAAAATCTACCTCGCATCCACAACTGCCATAACAGTCAACTTGCACCTCTCTCTCTCTCTCTCTCTCTCTCTCTCTCTCTCTCTCTCTCTCTCTCTCTCTCTCTCTCTCTCTCTCTCTCTCTCTCTCTCTCAACTCCAAGATATTCCCAGTGTGATGTGCAGACCACAACACTCCTTCCTCCTTGATGGAGGTGAGCACCATGCACCCAGATGAAGATCAAGTCCTTCTTGGGGCTCTGTGGCCTGCCTTAGTGAAGCAACAAACAAGGATAATGAGAGAGATGGATTTCGGCATAGTTGCCAGTAAGTTACATTGTCGGCAAGTCTCTCCATGGCGCCCTAAGTGCTTCTATTGTCCGCTGAAACAGGTCTGATCTCATGGGGACACTAGACCTTCCGGAGGACAGCTATGCCAACAGGAAAATTATGACTCGTAGACTGACTGCAGCTCACTCTGCAATCCGCTGTGGCTCCTGGACGTAATCTACCCTAAAGCAGTCCATATCCGTTTGGTACCCTTATCAAGACCTACTTCCAAGCCACTGGGCTGCAGGGTCTATAGGACTTCACAGAAAGTGCTTCTCGGCCTCAAAACTGTTACCTTTATGTCCCTGTCCGTCCAGATTTTGCCTGTGTCCTCCCCTCCTACTCTCAAATTTCAGACCTATCCCTTGAAGCACCCTTAGCACCGATATTCACAGATACGTCTGATGCAGGACACAGATCCACACTCACAATTAGGTTAGTGCCAATCGCACAAGCATATCTACAAAGGCGCGTATTTTTCAGTACAGACGAACAAAACACAGCAGAACTTTGAGAATGCAGTTGAAGCCCAGCAAAGATGGTATTTTTGGCCCGTGGCACACACCTGCTCCTCCTTCCAGTTTTTAACATTTTGTCCACGTTCAGCAAGCATTACCATACAGGTTGGGTCGTACCACGTGGCCAGGTCATACTATGTGGAGCGGGTGGCACCATGTGGGGTGGGCGGTATTGTGGTAATATGAGCCGGGTCATACTGTGTGGAGTGGGCGGTCCCATGTGGACGGGGTTCTATTCTGTGGCCCGGATGACACCAAGGCGTTCAGGTGGCAGTAAGCAGGGCAGGTCATACTATGTGGACCAGGCAGTATTATGCCGGGTCGATGATACCATGGGGGTTGGTTGGGCACTAGTACATTGGGAGGGCCATGGTATGTGGAGTGGTTGGTACAATGCGGGATGGGCGGCACACAACGGGGTATGCTGGGGATGTTAAATGGACCGGGTGGCTAGGCTGGTCCCCAGGCGGTCCGGCTGGGGGACGGTCGCCTGGGTACCTTCCTGGGCGACCCGGGCTGGGCAGTGGCCGGGCAGGGTCCCGGGCAGCCCCAGTGCATAATATTAAAAAAAAATAAAAATTCAAAAAAATTCAAAAAATTCAAAAAAAAGTTTAAAAAACTGGAAAAAGAAATATGTTGTATGAAACTGCAGTACAAACAACTTTTGGCTGAGGGTCCCCTCAAAATTCCTTGTTAATTTTCAGATTAAAATAAATGAGGAGAAATGAGGTAAGATATAGTCTGATATACCCTTTGAAACCCCTCTAGTCTCTGTTTAGAGTAACTTTATACCCCACAAACACTCCTGGGTGACCCACCACCGAAATGGAAGGTAAGGCCAGATTCTGACTGCTCATGCCGAGCGCAGTCCTGGCCTGAAGTGAGTTTTTTTTTTTGGAGATCCTTCTGCGAGGAACGGCCCTCACGGGGCCCTATCAGACATCACATGTTGTGGGCAGAGGCCCCAGCAAGCCGAGTGCCCGCCCTAAGTGAAGGCGGGTCTGAATATTCATCAGAGGCCAAAATTCGACATTTTCATATGTGGGTATTCAGGCTCGTGCAGCACGCCAGTTGGTTGAGTGGACGCGTGAGCCTCACTAAGCTGCGTCGTACAGTTGGCCCAGGCCTTGGCAGTTGCGCCTGGGCACATACACACAAAGCAGGGCCAATACATCATGAAGCGGTCACCGGCCTATGCAAAAGCAGTACTGTCGACGCACCTACCCCGGGGTCCTGCACAAATGCAGCAAACGGCCCAAGTCCGGACACTCAGGCCGTGCCCAACTGTAAAGGGCCCAGGCCCTCAACTGTAGTCTCGGGCCTGGGGCAGGAACTGAGGCCCAACCGGAAGCTACTGGAAGCTTCCGGCCAGGCCACACACAGCATCCAGGAGGCTGCCACTTCCATATAGGAAGTGAGACAGCCCAGGCCAGGCATTCTGGCCCGTGCAGGCAATGCGGTCACTCTGCTGCGCTGCGGCCAGTGCGCTAGCGGGGCGAGTTGAGGTGAGGTGGGGCACTGCAGGGCAGCAGTGCGCTGGCGGCCATAGCCGGGCTGCTGGGCGCAAGGGGGTAAGAGGGGCCGATCTGGTGGTCTTCAGGGAAGGAGGCGAGTGCGTGGGTTCTCAAGGTCTGATGAGGGTGATGAGATACGTACCTGGTGCATGAACAGAGGTCGGCTATGGTGTTGACATCGTGTACATTGGTCTTCGAGAGTCGAAGTGAGCCTGTTGTGTGAACACAACTGTAGGTAGGATAGTCGAGTAGAGTAGGTTAGGCGCTGGGCGCCAGACAGAGAGGAGAGACTTTTGATACTGTGTTGGTGTGGCCTGCGGGCTTGAACATTGGCTCATTACTTCATTGTATTGCTCTATTTGGATGGATTCTCGGTGCAATTGTGCTCTCTGCTTGTACACGACTACTTGGACATCTGTGTGATTTCGCAACTTGGTTTTATCGGAGCTGGTTCGTGATCGCCGCTTACCTGGCGCTGGCGACATTGTTACTTGGTGCGCTGACGATACTTCATGTGCAGTAAGGATACTTTGGCGCTGGCTTGATTGAGCGGGGCCCAGGTAGAGGGGCCGGCCACTGGAAGGTTGTGGCCACAGCGTGGGAGCTGTGGCGACAGCGGACGTATGTATGATGATGAGAGCATGCTGATGTGGCATTTTGGCTGAGGTGGCACTGCATCGCGTTGTGAGTCGTACTGAGGCTATGACCTGTCATCGAAATGCTCATTGGCCCAATTGGTGAGAAATCTGTGGTTGGGGGCAGCTATCTCCAGGTACGTTGTTCCCATTCCTTATCTACCCTCTCAATCTCTTCTTACCGTGAGGAAGTGAGTCCAACGAGTGTCCTCTCTTTGTTGAGGAGTCGTGTGCGCTCTATCTTGAGAGACGACATTCCTCCCGGTGGCGCATCTGGCAGGAGAGGGCGGTGCCTCTGAAGGGCCCTGGTCGAAGCACGGGTCACGGTCACCATGCCAACCCATGGAAGTAGTACCCGCAAGCCTTGCTGGTTTGTTCTTTGAGGCTCTTTGCTGCGCTGATAGAAGGGTTGTGCGGACTGACCAGTCCTAAGCGGACGCTCCCAGACCGTCTATAAACATTTCTGGTTGGGGTCTGAACTGTCCACTGGCTGTGATCGTCGTCCTGATTGCGGCGTTAAATAATTCCTAAGGACTCTTGGGGGCTGTCCTTAAATTGCCTCTTGATCAGCCAGATCAGTAAGACGTAAGGCTCATTGCACGCGAGGGTAAATAACGGGCAGGCTGGTCATAAGCATACGCCTTGGGCACAGGGGTGGGGCCGTTGATGCACACTTTAGACATTGTCGCTTGATGAGGCTTACAGGCACGTTGGATACAGGAGAAGGAGATTCCAATTGAGGGCTCAACTGTAACACACTATCATACCCATTGTGCATACGTCTGCTCACAGGAGTTTATTTTTATTTTGATTAGTTGGTTGACAGACTGCCGACACCTAACAGACAGCCTGGAGTAGGACTGTGGTAGATTCTCAAAGCTTTTGTGCAGAACTAATCACGATAGAAGTAGACTATGTGTACAATCTGTGTAGGTGTTGTTGATGCCACTTGATCGGTCAGACATATTAGATAACTCGTTGGATATTTATTTTTTATATTATTTTAAAAACTGGTTAGACGTATGATGCGATAGGTTCCCGAGACGGCGAGGGGACACTAGTGCAGACAGCGTCTGCCTAGCTGATGAGTGCATCAGAGGGTGGTGAAGGTTCGATTGACGATCGCAGGCAAACAGGCAGGATGAGTACCTGTAATGTTCCAGGTCCTACTACCAGGGGAAGAAAGAAGGATAAGGGCCAAAGCAAGGACCCATAGATTAGAGACTGCAAGGGAAGCAGTAGCAGCTGTAGAAAGATTGTTAGCGGCAGCCGCAGCTAGCGCTGTAGCAATCGCTACTTCTGCAGCAACAACTGCTGCAACCTCGTCTGGATAGTTAGGCATCCCGCTTGGCTGGAACAGGTCACAGTCCTCCAGTATGTCAAATCTGGCACTAGTCAGATGGCGGGCTCGCACAGCTCGCCGCCTCCACGCACCCAGGAGCAGATGGAGCTCCAACAAGTCGAGAGGATCCACATAGGGCTAGCGGAGGAACTTAGAAAAGCTATCGAAAGAGAAAACGAAATTAGAAATAAGAGTATCAGACTAGAGAGCAGAGAGGCAGACAAAGCTGCACTAGAGGGTTTAGATGACTCCGCCCTGGACAACAACATGAAGGTTGTTAAGGCGAGCATCTTGTCCATGCATGCATACATGGACAGTAAACTGAACGCTATCCAGGACACCCTAGATCAGATCCTGAATGCCCTGCAAAAGCTAGGGGTCAGGCCAACAGTTTTGCCATTGCAACCATTCTCGGCGATGACAGGCCCATATTTGTCTCAGTCTGGTACCACACCAAGTTGTACATCAGCAGCAGCAGCACAGACTGTTGCTTCTTCATCTTCTGGTCCAGCGGCTGGAGCTACACCACAGTCGCCACCTGTCCCGCCAGCAGGACAGCAATTGCCTTGGTTCCGCAAGACCCCCTTGAAACCACCTCCAACCTTCTCAGGAGATAAGAAGGACGAGGCTCTTGACACGTGGTTGAGAATGGTGCCAGTGTGGTTGAGGGCAAAGAGGACATTGGTAGAGGAGGAAGTGATAATTGTTGCATCCTACTTAGAGGGTTCAACAACTCGTTGGTTAAACGAATTCGTTGCTTCAAAAGGGTTCGACAGGAACATGGGTGATTGGATTCAGACCCACACCTTAGAAAGCTTTACGGATCTAGTGGAAGCACGTTGGCACAACCCTCAGCAGGCACAAATTGCCAGTGATGAGTTATTAAAGTTTGATGCTAGGAAGTACAAGTCGATGCGAGAGCTTACCACAACCGTAGAGCGTCTGATTGTCGTCCCAGGTGTGGAGTACAATCCACAGGTCTTGCTGACCATGTGCTTGAGGTGTCTTCCCACAGACATCAAGAACTTGTTAGCCACCAAAGCTCGACTTGAGTATCACACTTTTGAGACATTCAGCAAGAAGGCCCTAGACTTAGAGGCTACGATGGGTGGTGCTCAAACCATCCCGACGGACGGAAGAAAGGAGAAGGCTCCACAATAGTAGAAGAAGAAGGGTAGTCGATTGATGATGGTTGATTCCGAAGGGAATCAAACTGAAATCGATGATGTTTCTAACCTTGTGGAGAGTTCAGAGTTAGACAACGAGGATAGTGCTGAAGGTAGCAACCTCGCCGCTGTAGTCAAGACTAAGGCACGTGGCTGTGGCAAGGTAGTCAACAAAGGAGTCAGGGGCAAGCCGCCAACCCAAACAAAATAGTTGCTTGGGTTAGGGCAGGTTTGGAACAAGATGTGTGGTGAGACCGTTGGCAACGTGGAACTTGCATAAACTGCAGCGAGTACGACCATCAGCAGTTTAAATGCAAGAACGCTAAGGTCGCGCAGAAGATCCCTCCTAAGGGCGGTTATCCTTCTTCTCAGTCTGGGGCCTCTACGAGCTCCAACTTGGGAAACACTTAGGGCCAGTAGAAGTTGTAGTTGCTTCTACTCTCGTTGAAGCAGTTGATGTACCCTTCCCGTTTCAAGAGTTGGCTGAAGCTATTGACTCCTTAGTCACCCCGCAGATGCATTCGGACCCAACAATACTCTATACGTTGGATGTGTTTGAAGCCTTACAGGACCTTCAAGGTGAGTGGTCGGCAAGGGACCCTCGTGAGTCCTGGGTGGCACTAAGTCGAGGTCCTAGAGGGGAGCACTTCGTTGTGGAAGTTGGTGTGGGTGGCCGCAAGTGCGGTGCCTTCGTAGACATTGGCTTCAGGCGACACTTCATAAGTTGCGACTTCGTTGAAAGACTGCGCCTAAAGGACCGGGTGCAACGCCTTAGTGGACCGGTAGCATCTACTTTGGCCAACAAAGAGCGCATGATGGTGGAGGACTGCGTGAAAGACATGGTTTGCACTTTCTCCTACCCAAGAGGATAACTAAATCATAGAATATCATTCCTGGTAAGCGACGATTTRCCTTTCGATATGTTATTAGGAATGTACTACCTTGAGGTTGCCAAACCCCAGTTTGACTGGAACAAGAAGGTGCTAAAGAAGGAGTTGCCTAGTGGTAGGACTGTTAGACTAGCAAAGTACAAAACCAGTAGGTTAATTGACTCCTATGGGTGCATATGCACACCTGCATTCTAT